TGCGGTACTGTTCGAAAAGTGTTGGTTGTGGGGGAAGGGTTTTGTAGACCACGGTAGTGTGATCAACCTTCAAACAAGCCTGTTTCGGGCTTCAAGATAGTAATCTTCAGAGTTCGTGAAAAATAATGAGAAAAACGCACGGGGGCAGGAGCTGGGGAAAGGTAAGATCCCCTGGGGAAGATCATGCGCGTCCTATTTTCCCTTTGTGTTCTCAACGTCCCTACTAAATGAGAGCCTGGCACAGGCTAACTCTGCAAACATGTGAGCGTCTATGTATGTGTACTGCAATTGTGTACTGCTGCTGCAGGTCCACAACAGCTCTAAAGCTGTCCTACACATGACATGCTTTTTTATGAAAATGAACCATTAAGGACACAAAAGGTAGGTGTTTTAGCGAGTAATCAGCAAAACTTAACTTCCGTGACACTGAGTTTAATGATATCGAACATTCCGCTGGCTGAGTATTCTTTGTTCTTAAAACGCGCCTCGCCAAAGACGCGTATTTTTCACCCCAAACAACCTGCGAGAGCTCCTCATTTCGAAATTCGAAGGTTGATTTTTTAAGTGTTATGATCGAAATGCTCGTTGACATGCATCTCAAAGTCTCGTTGACTAAAGCTTTCTGGAAAAAAGCGATCGCAAACGGGACATATTTTTCCTCGAGGTAAGCCAGCACCGACGAAATCTTCTTCCTCTTCAATAACCTCGATATCACTCTCTCCTGTCCACGTGCTATCGGATACGCCAGTTGCCATGGGAACCGTCCTGCCCGGAGTCGAAGGAGATGCAATGGTTTCGCGTGTAATTAATCTCGGATTATACATCGCACCACTGGAAAACTCCAACTTTGCCTTCGCCTTAGAATTTCTTAATCTGTCTAACTCCGTCTCTTGAACAGGAATACTTAAAGGTGCGTCGTCATCGAAAACGCGCTCAAAGTTCTCTTCTCCCGTTCCTTGCCCCTGGGACATGGATAGTACTCCACCTGCAGCTCCCTGGGAACTTTCATTTTCCCCTGAGGAGCCAGAAGCTTCTTGAGGCTTCGAGGAAGTGACTAACTGTGTAAAATCTTTGGTGATTTTCTCCGTTAAGTCTACCAATGTGCGCAAGCTTTTGTTTTGCCTATCCACATGCTGTTTGGCTTGTTTCACTTCTGCTGCTTGCGTCCTTACAGCAACTAAGAGTGATTCAGCTTTGGCTGAACTCGTCTGCTTTGGTCTCCATTCATTTTTGTCCACACTCGCTTGTTTTTCTGCTAAGTCTGATAAACCTGCGACAAAGATAAACGGGTTTAGGAAAAATGAAGTACAGCACTACTGAAACAAAAAATAATTAGGTAATTAAACGGGTTGATTCACACGGTCGAACTTTACATGTGCCGAACCTAATTCGTGGCGAAAACAAATATCATCCTTACTTCTAAAAATAGGGAAATAAACTGAAAAAATAAAATTCACCAAGCCTGAAAATTCTTGTTTTGATTTTAGTGTGATTTGTGTTCTGTTATGGCAAGGAGTGAGCTGATGAGATCATGAATCTTACTATATAGACACGAGTGATTTACTGGAAAATATACCACTCATAAAATTCATAAAAACTACATCTGGGACCCGAGTGGTGTATTTTCCATAATCTCACACGTGAGTTTATGGATAACGTAATTTCGGTAATTTTCCTTCGTCTTGCGTCTTTTCAATTTACTTACACATTTTTCAAATTTTTGCTCATATTTTGTCATTGTAGAACCCTATTCAGCTCAGTGTTATTTCTCAAGATTATTGTAACCAATGTCTTATATTGCGGTACTGTAAATCTGAGCCTTCACAATTACTTTCTGGCGAATAAAAATCTATTATTTTATCGATGTCTTTTTGTCTATATAATAAAAAGATTATTACACGGTGGCGCGAAGATATGAATTTTATTTTCTCGTTGCAAAAACAATATTTTACTCACTCGCTGCGCTAGTTCGTAAAATATTGTTTTGCCACTCGAAAATAAAATTCATATCTTCGCGCCACCGTGTAATATCCTCTATATATTGACATTTGGACAAAATAAAGTGACGCCATAAATTTTAAAATACAGTAAGATTTCTTTATGGATATAAAGATAAGCAACTTTTTAGAAGACCGTTTTAAGCTGTCCAGTTTCCGTCTAAAAATCTACAACGAGAATGCGGGTAAAGTCGTTACGCTTCTGTGGGTTCTGTCCGCACAGGCGCGAAAACTCAATATATAGCCAATCAGAAGAGCGGTCGTATTGAAAAATACGTTAACCTAATTTATGAAATAGGATTCGCACATTTGAAGTTCGACGTACTATGAACTGAAGTCGACCTTTTGCCGTTCTATTCGACAAGCTCAGTCGAATAGAACGGCAGAGTCGACCCAAATACAAAAGTGTCGTTCCTAATTGATTCCGCCGTACGTCGAACTTAACATGTGCGGAACCTAACAATTAGGTTTGGCACATGTAAAGTTCGACGTTTGAACAGTGC